ATTTTTTTTTTTCTTTAATTTTTTTTTTTTTTAGAAGAAGTGGAGAATGAGGGAGGGGGCTGCTGCTATAGATTGCTGCAGCAGATTGGGCAATCTACAACCGTGCCCAAAGTTGTCGGCAGCTGCTGTGGATTGCTGCTTGCTGCAGCAGATTGTAGAGGCTGCAGTTTGCCAAAAGGCCGCGAAAACTGCAGCGATTCTCAAGACTGTGGTTCGCTGTTGTTGATTGCTGCTTGCTGCATCGGATTGTAGAGGCTGCAGTTCGCCGGAAGATGGCTGCGAAAACTGCAGCGGTACTCAAGACTGCGGTTCACCGGGAAATGGCCGCGAAAATCTACAGTGTTACTCAAGTAAACTGCAGTGAGAGAAATCTACAACAATTAGATGTAGACTATGGTTCGCTGTTGTGGATTGCTGCTTGTTGCAGCGAATTGGAGAGGCTGCAGTTCGCCGAAAGATAGCTGCGAAAACTACAACGGTACTCAAGACTGCGGTTCGCCGGGAAATGGCCGCGAAAATCTGCAGTGTTACTCAAGGAAACTGCAGTGAGAGAAATCTGCAACAATTAGATGTATAGAGAAAAGCGGCAGCGAAAGCTGCTGTGGTAGAGGAAGGAAGATGCAGTAGTTGCGGTTGCTGCTGGCTGGGAAGCGGCCGCGACAGCGAAGGAGGAAGACGAAGCAGCCGTCGTTAAGCAAGGAAGACTGAACGAGGAAGACACCATCGTTCACCGTTCGTAGCTATTGAGGAGGAGGACATCGCCGTGAAGGCTGCTGCGGTAGAGGAAGATGCAGCAGTTGCGACTGCTGCTGGCCGGGAAGCGAGGAAGGCACCGCTGTTCGCCGTTCACCGCTATTGAGGAGGCAGTGAGAGAATGTTTTCCTCCTTGCGTGACGACGACGGAGAGTGTCTGCTGTATGCAGCAAATAGGAGAGGGAGCAAGGCCGGCAAAGAAAAGCAAGACCGAAGATGAAGAAAGAGAAGAAGTGGATGAGCAGAGCCAAGACGATGCTCGTTACTGGCTCTGAACCCTGTCTTGTGCTTCTTCAGTGACTCCGCTTGAGGCAGCATGTTGCTGTGGCCGCTTGGCTAACACACGGCGATACTATTGTCGCCAAGGAGGAACTGCTCTGATACCATGTTAGAAAATAAATAGATAAACAAGTTGTAGAAGTAGTTGATTGTTATTAACATATCCTCCTTCCTTTTATACAGATTAGAAGGGAAAATTTTCCTCAATAGAGATATTTCCTCAATCAGGTAGGAAATCTCATCTACTTATCCTGAACAAAGTCCAGATCGCAATCCTGTTCTGTCAGCAACTAAGCACAGTAGCTATTACTTTATACAACAAATATTATTCTGTTCCTCGCTATGCTACAGACAATAGAAAGCTGAAATCTAGAGAGAGAAAGGGAAAGAAGCATCACATGCTCTGTCAGTCTACGGTGTATATGTTGGAGTAATCTATGTAAGGAACGATGAGAGAGAGCACCACAGAGGCTCCTAGCAGAATCACAACCAAGGCAGTCGAGTTGACCAAGAAAGCTTCCGGACTGTACCTGTGTAATATTCCTGAGGTCTCGAGGAAGGTGAGCTTCTCCAGAAACCCCAACTCGGCCGTTGCAATCGCCAGTAGGTAGACGAAGACGCCAAACAGTACATGCCATGCAAGATACGCTGTTCTAAGGAACACTGAAGCTCCAGGATAGAGGAAGGTGACGAACCCGAAAATCCACTGTAGAAAGCAAATCACTGTGTCACACAAACACAAAACAAAACAGAGAATCAATGGCCTGATGCATCACCTGAATGCCATAGAGGCAGATCGTCCCGAGCCCCATCCAGGAGTGCAAGCTGTAGAGGTTATCGATTCCACTTTCGTTGTGGAACTTGAAGGCAAAATAGATTCCAAAGACGCCAAGCACAAGGGCAATTGCGTGAAGGATCAAATGGATAGTCTTCTTTACTCGTTTGCTCCAAGGAAGAGTTCTGTAGCTCATCGTAGCTGTACCATGATCAAATATAAAGACATGAATTCCAGTTAATTTCTGGTGATTTCGAAGAATTTTAGCTGCTCTACCTTCACCGCCCATGATGATGAAGCCGATCAACATGAGAACCGGATGCACCTGCGTAATTGCAAGAAAATTCTATGCATCACTCACACGAATTGTTCATCGGCATCCACATAGCACACTCCAAGAGGATCAAACGTGTTTCCACTAAATCTAAAGAAACAGGTTGCTTGATAGTTACAGCAAAAGAACGAACGAGGAAGAGGAAGAGATCGTAGTTACGTTAAAGATGAGCGATTTGTTGGCAGACTCAAAGGCCAAGCCACCACGAAAGTGGATGCACCACACCAGAACCATCACGGCCGCCGTCGCCGCCAGTAGGTGCGCTATGTACATGAAAGCCTTCGATTTCGACCTCACCAGCCCTCCCATCTTTCACTACCTGGCTCCTCTCTCTCTGTCGTTCTCTCTGCTGCAGAAGAGAGAGTACATGTACAGGGAGGCTAATGAGGCCATTACCAGTTCAGTGGTTGCAGCATAAATAGCAGTCTGTTCTCCACAACTGACAAACGCCAATCGAGATGAGCACCACATCAACATCTGCCATGGGAATCTGGAGTTGAACTTGAGCGCTTAGCCTGACGGAAACCTTGAAGTGAACCGGGAAGATGCAGGCGCCGCACGTTCCTGGTACCGGTGAGCCTCCGCGTTATCCAGAAACCAATGGATGTGGGAGGACCGTGTCCGTTCGGGTGCCTGTGGCGGGCTCAAGGACGGCGAGGCTTCACACAGGCGTGGCTGGCTTCCAGCCATAACGCTATCCAACCCACGACGGCTGACAGCGCAAGATACCGATCCGATTACTGTGGAAGACGAAGCTATCTGTTGTGGGATTTGGCGTCTTGGGTGTTGTTTCAGAGGGCTTGATTGCAACCGTGGCATCCTCTCATTGCTGCAAAAGGAGGAAGCAGTCTGTGGTGGGATTTGGAGTTTTGGGTGTTCGAAAGCAAAAGCTTGATTCCAATTGTGGGTCCACTCATTTTTAGGTGATGTTGAAATTATATATATTTTATATTATTAGCTGTGATAAGTGTTTTTCTAATTTAATAAATAAAAATAAATTATTTTAAAAAAATATTCTTTTTTTAGTCATCACTTCACTTTTCTAAGATTAATTATTATTTACTCATGACTTTACTTTTCATCATCGTTCAAATTGGAACATCGGAGGGATCGAGTTACGCTACCTACTATCATCTAAATTAATTTTTTTATGAATACTAAAACTATCATCTTGATCATTTTTAATTTTTTTGTATAGTAAAGTCGATAGAGATGTCACCAACGATTATACCATCGCTTATGATAAATTATAAAAATATTTATTAGCTAATACCTTTGTAACATTAAAATGTACTAATATTTCTACCTTTGCTTTTTTTCGAAATAGGGTCGAAATTTAAATCAAACTATAAGCATTGAATAAGTGTTCTATCATAATTTGGGTTTTAAAGTTTTTTTGAATGAGTGCTTTGTCCTCGATAAAATAATTAATTAATTATCCTAACAAATAATATCGAAGTCGACCTAATATGAAATTATCGAGAAAATTATGAGTAAAAATAATATCTATAAATTACTCGAGTCATCATCGAGTTAAATATTTGATTGTGGGTTATATTGTTACGACATCAAACCTTCGAAGTCATGATAATGGATCATAAGAAATCGATGAGTATGGACACAACTTGGATCATTGTTGTTATGGGAAAATTGGATTATTATTATTTTGTCTCATGGCAATAAAACTAGAACATGTCGATCCTTTGACAAGTCAAACCAAACCTTGCATGATTCCTACCAACTGCCCCCAGTTCATCGTCCCCATTAAATATCACCATCTTCCTTACTTTATTAGGTGTTGACCAGTTCATAGGGGAGAGGGGGATCACTGCTGCCGAGCTATTTCTATAGTAGAATAATGTCGGATACCAAACACGACCAATGATCGCCCAATGGGAGGCTGGAGATGGACTTGTGCAAAACCTAAACATGCAAATTAGTGCAGGAGAAGAACATGCATCAGAAATCTTCGCCGCCTCCAGAGGCAACTCCGCTTCCAGTTTTTAAGGTCCAACCACTTCCGTGATGCAGTCCCTGTGCCCCTCGTGATTTGGCAGCAGCATATGAAGAAGATGAACGCCCAGATGAGCAGGTTATGGAATGGAGAGGAAAGCAAAGGGAGGAGCGTCCCAGCCTCGACGTCCTACGCCGTCAAACTGGTCATCGCCGTCTTCGTTGCCCTCGTCGTCCTCGTCTTCTTCATCTCTAACAGCGCTGTAAGTGGGGTTCTGTGTCTGTGTTCTCGGTGTTAGAACACCGTATCTTATCTATGAAAGGATTTATAGAACCGATCGAGTTTCATGGATTCGATGGCTATAATCGTAGGTTTTGCACTGCCCCAAGTTTAATCGACTCGCAATTTAGTCTCTGTCTTTGACTTTTGCTTTAGATGTCGGATCCTTCTTCCTTCTTCCTTTTGGAAGAACTCATTGTTTGAATGGGTGGTCACTGTTTTTTTGGGGATTCATCATTTTGACTTTTCTTCTTGTCATTTATCTAATAAATTGATGCGCAAATTTCTCTCTCTCTCTCTCTTCTTTTTTTCTGTGGAAAAAGACTTGAAATCCAATCTTTATATTGATATCACCTTTTTCTTTTTCTTCTTCTTTATTGAAAAGGATCATTTTCCTTGAATTATGGGGATTTGAGAGAACTTTTGAATCCAAACATGTCCAAAACCCAAAGATCCAAGAATTAAAAGTATAAGGTCTTATGGTGATGCATTAATTAATAGACTACACACTTCCATACCAACAACTCCCCCATCATGATGAGCATTGTTTAATATCATTTATTTGATAGAGTGAATACACTTTTTTTATTGTTGTTGTTAATAAAAAATTACTCATAAATAATTACATAATTAAATATTGTGAATGTGAATGTGTCTTCGTCGGTGATGGATGATGGTGGTTTGACTATTCACTTTTGACTTTTCTTTCAGAGAAAAAGTCATGACCTTGAAATCAAAGAATATATATATATATATATATATATATATATGTATATGTATGTATGTATGTATGCATGTATGTATAGTGTCGTATTATAATATGTTTTATAATTGCAGACCTTCGGTTGGAGCGAGCAAGGAATAGATCGACAGTCTCTCAACACACAAATCTCGAAAGCTCAATCGAAACCTCAACCAAAACTCATCACCTTGAGCTGCCCAAACATTACAGGAGCGTCGGCCGTCTGCCAACGATCTCCCAACGCGGCGGCGCCTACTCCCCTGCACCTCACCGCCAACCAACCGTCCCCCACCTGCCCCGAATACTTCCGGTGGATTCACGAGGACCTGCGACCATGGAAGTCCACCGGCATCACGAAGGAGATGGTCCAGCGCGCGCGCAAGTTCGCTACCTTTCACATGGTGGTGCTCGACGGCCGGGTCTACGTCCAGGAGTACTTCGGCCACTCCCTGTCGAGGAACGTCTTCACCTTCTGGGGTATCCTGCAGCTCATCAGCCGGTACCCCGGCCGCGTCCCTGACTTCGAGCTCATATTCAACTGCATGGACATGCCGTCTGTGAAGTCCGCCGACTACAACTCATCGGCACCGCCTCCGCCGCTGTTCCATTACTGCAAGGACGATCGAACCCTGGATATTCTCTTCCCCGACTGGTCCTTCTGGGGCTGGTAATCTGAGTCCCTGTTTTCTTCGTTTCTGTAAGCTTTGAGCTGATCGAATGCGTTGATCTTTTGGAAGGCCTGAGACAAATATAAAGCCATGGGTGCCACTGATGAAGGAGATGAACGAAGGGAACGCAGAGGTGGAATGGGCGGAGAGAGAGCCATATGCGTACTGGAAGGGCAGTCCATTCATGGGCGGCAGCAGGCAAGACCTTGTGAAGTGCAATGTCACCAAAGAACGAGACTGGAATGCTCGGATCTACGCCCAGGTATATCTTCAATTTCCCTATAACATGAGAACCAGAATCCCTCGGATGAACTCTTACCTTCCCCTTTCCACAGGATTGGAACAGCGAGGCCAAGCAGGGGTATAACCGCTCAAACCTGGCCAGGCAATGCTATCACAGGCAAGTCTGCTTCCGTCTCCTGTCTGCAGCGATGCATGCACGTAGATTGACATGGGGAAAAGGTTTGATGAGCAGGTATAGGATTTACGTGGAGGGACTCGCGTGGTCGGTGAGCCAGAAGTACATCTTGGCGTGCAACTCGCCGACGTTGTTCGTCGACACGCGCTTCGTCGAGTTCTTCCAACGAGGTCTCATGCCCGGCCACCATTACTGGCCCATAGCAGCCGACAACAAGTGCAGAGGCATCAAGTTCGCCGTCGACTGGGGCAACGCTCACCAAGAGGAGGTCAGCATTTTAGCTACGCACTAAGATTCAACCTACGGCGACGCAGTTCACGACACATCTCTTAAAACTCTAACAGGCACAGGCGATCGGGAAGGCGAGCAGCGGCTTCTTCCAACAGGAAGTGAAGATGGATCACGTCTACGACTACATGTTACACGCACTGACAGAGTACGCCAAGCTTCTGAAGTACAAGCCCACGGTGCCGGAAGGGTTCACCGAGATCTGCATGGAGTCATTGGCTTGCTCTGCCTCGGAGAAGACCAAGAGCTTCCTGTTGGAATCAATGGAGAAGTGGACTCACGATGCGGAGCCCTGCACTCTGCCTCCACCTTTCACTCCAGAGGAGCTCCACCAGGTGCTCGAGAAGAGGGCTAACGCGGTGAAGCAAGTGGAGATGTGGGAGCAGAAAGCTTGGGAACAAGAACAGGGGAACAAGAGCACATGATGAGATCAACGTCAAAGCGAAGGAACGAAGGCCTGTAACTTTTTGAGTTATTCTTTGCATCATTTTTAATGTATTAAAATCACATTTTATCTCTAATAATTATTATTAATTTTATTTCTTTTTTGTGAGAGAGAGTGTTTGTGTGTGTGTGTGTGTTATTAACTCATGACAAAGCAGCATATAATGACATCAAACAGCAACGGTATTTTGGTCCAGCTGTCATAAAAGAGGAAGTCGCAAAAGACACGGGCAGCGGGACCCACCGAACTACTACGCTGTGGAATTAGTGATGCGTGTACCGAACAAAGCGACGTGACCAAATAGGAGGCCGCCACGTTGACCTTAAACGACGAAAAGTCTACTGAGCTTTCTTCTTGAAGAGGGGAAACGAGGAAGTGGGGGGGGAGAGAAGGGGCAGTGCAGTGGAGAGCACGAGAGGGACATGATGGAATCGGACATGTCGCCGACCTCCGGGAACAGCTCCACATGCAATTATTGAGGCCTCGACTCACTCTGTGACTCTGCTGATTCGGAGGCTCTCGTTGACTGCTGCTGCCGCTGATAGATTCAGCTGTGCGGCGATATGGCGATGAGGGCACGGTTGGGCAGGTTGTGGGACGGATCTCAAGTGAGGTCCGAGTCGTCGGAGAGCAAAGGGAGGAGCGGCATGGCCTCGAAGAGTTCCCCGATCAAGCTGGTCGTCGCCCTTTTCGTTGCCCTCCTTGTTCTCGTTTTCTTCATCTCCAACAGCACCGTAAGCGTCACCTTGGATTTTGTCTTCTTCCTCTTTTTGTATCGTTTTCGATTCAAGAACTGTGGTTCCTGTTTGAAGGATTTTTCTGGTAGATCTCCTCAGTTTGTTGTGCTATTTTGGCTGGAGAAAGGGATCTCCTTACTGTTTTATGTGCACATAGTTCGTTCACACTTTTCCTTCAATTATAGGAACATTTAGGACTTGGATTGAAGCCCAATTTTTCAGGAAATTGAATTGAATTGAATTGGTGTAGCCAATTTTCTGACCCTTTTGGTAGATTCCATTATAGTGATCAAAATTTATTGGGTTTTCAGTTCGATTTGTCTATTCGCATTTTCTTCTTTATATTCACAAATTGAGACCACTTCTACGAAATCATGTTCAAAACATGAGAATGAGTTTTTTTTAGTATAATCATATTAAAATGCTATAGTTGAGCTTTATTTTTCTTGGTTAATATAACATAGTGTTAGGACTCCTTCTGGAAAAAAAAAAAAGGAGATAATAATAAGATGTTTGAATAGTAATTCTTTTTCTTATTTTATTTGTCACACTCCTTCTATCGATTTCAACTAAAGTGATGTGTTGATGATAGTAGACAAAGGGGAGCATGTCGGCATCTCTCATATAGTGAACATTGTTTTACCAAGTCCATCACATTTATAGCATTAATTTAACCTGCAAGAGAAGAATATACCAAACAAGCACATGCTACATGTTACCAAGGTTCCAAAGACCAAATGTGCTCTAGATCACAGTGCATCTGATGGGATGAACCAATGTATTTAGGAACATACCATCATTCATAGTTGCTGATGATTGGTATGGTTTCCCTATCAGACTTTTCTTCCATGTCTCCAAGTGAACTAGGGAGAGAAGAGTCCAAGACAGTCAAGGGTATGAAAAATAATAATAGTTAATATAGAACTTCTTGGCAATAGAAGAGGAACAAAGCATGTAGCTAATGAATGAAATCTTCACATGGAATCAGTCATTAACAAATCATGAATGTTAGTTCTCAGAATTGCCTTATGCACTTTTCAGATCCTTGGACACATTTCAAACGAGAGCACTAGGTCGACCAATAAATTTACTGTGGGCAGCAATACAGATTAACTTTCTGCTATTTGATTTGAACTAGCCTTTTAACTTTGAGCTGATCGTATAAAAGGTAGAAACTGTTCAAGTAATTCTAGCAGTTTTGAATCGAGTATATGAGCATACGAGAAATAGAGAACAATGGCAACAAGACAACTGTTATCTTTGGTCTTAATGCGAATTTTCTTGACCCTTATAGACTTGTAAAAGTCATGACCATTCTTGTAAGATTCTTTTACCATGAGAAGAGGTAGTACATGAAAGTATTATTTAAGGGCACATCTATGCAAATGTTAAGATAACATATTCAGTTTTGTTTATGCAGGTATGGTTATTTCTAATTCATGAACAATCATATTAAAGCATTACCTCTGGCAGCAAACAAAATTTCATACATATTTTTTCAAGAGAACACTTTTCTTTCTATGTTTGGAAATTCTACATCCTTACACGGTTGATGTGGTTGAGACAAAGCCTTACATTTATTATTCTTATAGTAGATCCCACAATAATGCCTGACTAGACTGTTGTATCAATCACTCATATCCGCTATGGATAAAATGACTATGCAAATGACATTAGTTTTTTTTTCCTTTTTCGGTGTACTTGAGTACCTTTTTTAGCTATTTAGTATCACCCAATCTATTCTTTCTTTAATGCTAAAAAAAATTCATATTTTGGGTTTGCAGACCGTTAATTGGAGTGAACAAGGAGTTGATTCACAGTCTCTTAAAACAAAGGGTGAACAAGGAGTAGATCCACAATCTCTTAATAAACAGAATGAACAAGGGGTAGATCCAAAGTCTCTTAATAAACAAGATGAACAAGGAGTAGATCCACAGTCTCTTAATTCCCAGCCCTCTAAAGCACAATCAGTACATATTACCTTATCCTGCCCAAACCAAAATGCAGCCGTCTGTCAAAGATCTACACTGGCATCTGCTCTCTCCCTCACCACTTCCCAAAACTCCGCTACCTGTCCTGAATATTTCAGATGGATTCATGAGGATTTACGTCATTGGAAGTCCACAGGAATCACGAAGGAGACGGTTGAGAGTGCTAAAAAATTTGCCACCTTCCGTTTGGTGGTGCTTGATGGTCGGGTTTATGTCGAAGAATATTTTGGACATCTCATGGCGAGGAATGTATTCACCCTCTGGGGCATCCTCCAGCTTGTTAATCGTTATCCTGGGCGTGTCCCCGACCTTGATCTCATGTTTAACTGCATGGACCAGCCAGCTATTAAGTCTGCTGAGTACAAGTCATCGACTCTGCCACCGGTTTTCCATTACTGCAATAATGACCAGACATCAGATATTCTTTTCCCTGACTGGTCCTTCTGGGGATGGTAGTGAATATTCAGATTCAACAGTCCTGTTGCTTCTTTTTGTTTGAGATTTTACATCATTGGATGCCCTTCAAGCTGTTTCCTGCTAACTGGTTGTAATGGTTATTGGAAGGCCGGAGACGAATATAAAGCCATGGGTGCCACTGATGAAGGAGATGAAAGAAGCCAATGAAGAGATTAAGTGGACAGACAGAGAACCATATGCCTTTTGGAAGGGCAATCCATTGATGGGCAGGAACAGGCATGAACTTCTCAAGTGCAACATGACCAATGAACAGGACTGGAATGCTCGGATCTATACCCAGGTATGGCATAAATTGGTCTAACAATGGGAAGAAGTTTGCTTACTTTAAAACCCATGGAGGCACCTTGTTGGCAGCATGAGACTTTAATTGATAGACTTGGCTATAATTTCAATAACCATCTGAACCGATAAGGATGCATAACATCAGCTTCATTGTCGATCCTGTGTCTTTCACTTGGTCTGAGTATTACTAGCTATTTGTCATGTTTTAAGTCATGGAGCTGCCATGGTCATCCTTTTTGTCACAGTTGAATGGCTTGTATGTGCCAGGCATCTTTCTTTGAATTGGATTCTCATTCAGTTCATGAGTAGGTGATTCCTAAATCATTTGTCTTAAATAAATCTCATAGAGAATAAGTATATGCATGTGTCCCTTGAAATTCTGAAATTATCAGCTTTCCCATCTCTAGCACGTGCCATCAGCTCCACGTAGAGCGGAACGGAAATTTATTGCAGGAAACACTGATTACATGTTAGTTCTAGCAGCGTTAAATGTGCCACCATATTACTTGTATCTCATTTTTTTCGTTCTGATTGATAATACAACTTCTCTACAGGATTGGAAACAAGAGGAAAAGCAAGGTTTCCAGCACTCAAACCTGGCTAGGCAATGCAGTCACAGGCAAGTTACTTGTGTTTTATAATTAAAAAAACAAACTTTAATCGACATATCTCACTCTGGGGAAAGGTTTTGATGGACAGATATAGGATTTATGTGGATGGTCTTGCATGGTCAGTGAGCCAGAAGTACATTATGGCATGTAACTCGCCTACATTATTTGTGAACACTCCTTGGTACGAGTTCTTCCAAAGAGGCCTCATCCCGGGACGTCATTACTGGCCTATACCAGAGAACAATATGTGTCGAGCGATCAAGTTGGCTGTGGACTGGGGCAATGAGCACCAGCAGGAGGTACACGTTTAGTCTTTGCACAAGTGGCTGATCAATTACATGCCTATTTGCTCACAAATTAAAATGGGCAGATCCTAATTGTTGTTAATCTAACAGGCACAGACTATGGGAAAGGCGAGCAGCGACTTCTTTCAAGAAGAAGTGAAGATGGATTTTGTGTATGACTACATGTTACATGTACTGACCGAATACGCCAAGCTTTTGAGATACAAGCCTACAATACCGGAGAAAGCCACAGAGTTCTGCTTGGAGTCCATTGCCTGCCCTGCCCCAGGCGACGTAAAGAAGTTCCTGTTGGATTCAATGGAGAAATCAACTCATGATGCCGAACCTTGCAAATTGCCTCCGCCCTTCACTCCAGAAGAGCTGCAGCAGCTGCTTGAGAACAAGGCTAATGCTGTAAAGCAGGTGGAGATGTGGGTGCAAAACACTTGATAATGATTAGGGTTAAGCTAATTGATTAGTAACTTGAGCACAGAGTGTTTTTTTGTTGAAGCAAATGGATCTGAGGGGACCGCAGCTCACACCCTCATCCTCGGTATTTTCTCTAGAAGATGTCAAATGCTCGAGAATTATGAGAAATGGAGAACTATATGAATGCATAATTAATGCCACGAGATCTTCAGAAGCCCTAAGGATATATTTTCTTGTTAAAGAACATGAACATTTACTGTATTCTTTTCTTATTCTTGTAGTGCAGTAAATGTGATTGGCTTTGTATTGCAACTATTCTATCATTCTCATGTAGCATCTTGCCAGGCCAGGTTTTAATTTAGCTAAGTATATTATGTTTTTCACAATGACTGACTATAAAACTGGCATGTAGTCGATTCCAAATAATTGTTGTATCTATTTCTTACAAATAAATGTTCTTCCGCAAAATACTGTAAGGCAGAAATTTTTATTGTAAATTATTAGAATCATTTTATAGATTTAAATATATTTTAAATTTTACTAATTAATTCTAATCATTGCTAATCTATATATATAATATAATATAAGTTTGAAAGGATGAATATTTAAAAATAACGTAATAATAGTTGATATCTTAAGAAATTAAAAGATGAGGTTCTAATAATAAATCAGACTATAGTTTTCATATTTGTGTTTGTTAAGACATCTAAATTAATTAGCACATCATAGTAAAAATGATTAAGTCTCGGATTCAAAGTTCGGACTTTGAACCTAAATAAAATAAATATTTAAATAAAAAATGTTTATAGGTTTGAAAATTATCACAACATCAATTCCACGGTGTCACGGTAATCCACGTCAACATTATTTACTTTCCTATCAGAGACGCACTCGTTCCCCCATCCCATCGAGCACCCGAATTTTCCACCCGCGTGACGACTGTGAACAGCTCAGAAGTCCTCTGGGGACCCACCATCGGAGCATTGGCCTTCAGCGCAACAAGGCGAGTAATCCAAGTCTTTCTGCCGAAACGAAGAAACGACCCCACATAAGAAATTAGACCGTTCCATTTATTAATTCAATCTTGATTTGATTTGATTCGGTTTGATTTGATTTGATTTGCTGTTCTGCGCCGTTAAATACAATGCATGTCTACGTGACGCGCCCAACTAAAAGGACACACCACTCCTCCTCGCCTCCATTCTTTCCCGCTCCGTCCTTCCCTCCTCCCCCTCCTCCTCCTCCTCTGTTAGGGATTTGAGACCGTGGGAACCCATCCAACAGCTCCACATCCAGTCGCGATTCCAGTCGAAGCCGTTCTTCCCGGAAGGTAAGGAAACTTGCTTCTTCATCCGATTCTGTTGGTGGTGTTGTCTTTGTCGCTATTGGTGATGGTTCGGAATGGAATAGGAGTTTGCCGATTAGAGTGGGGTGCAGAGGATGTAGCTCATGTAATATCTTTTGATGGAACCATCGATCCATTGTTCATCTCTAGACGGAGAAGATCGGTGCTACCCTTTGTGGAATATCTTTTGATGGTCGTGGTTTCTACGCTTTTAGCATCTTCTAGTTCCAGCCATAATTCGGCGAAGTTGTTCCTTTCATTCGATCACAGAGTAAGTGGTAATCAGTAGTTCCTTCGGTTGCTAAGATCTTGAGTTCTTTCCTTTCCCAATTTCAGTCTTCCCACCTTTGGAACTCAATAGATCCGTCAACTATTCCTTAATTACAATGATAAAAGATTTGTTGTTTCATGAAATTTCTTTACTCATTCGGCTTGCAAGATTAAATGCGCCTATCTCGTTCGACATATTGCTAGCAAGAATGGTTGTTGAAATGGAAGGTTCATAGGACTAAAATGGATTCCGTCCTATTGCAACAACAATAATAATCAGTTCCATGTGTGGGTTTTCTTTTCATAGCTTTATTCAGTGACGAAGGTGGGATTCGTCACTGAATCTGATTAGAATATGCAGATGCCTATACCATTTCATATTGGCTTCAACCATGCAGATCTCACAGAGGAGGAGTACATAAAGCTTGACGACGATGAGCAGCTACAAGTTGGGTGTGGAAGTTGTGAGCGCCCATGACCTGATGCCCAAGGACGCGCAAGGTTCTTCCAGCCCCTTCGTGGAGCTTCAATTCAGTGGCCAGAGATTTCGTACCACCACCAAGGAGAGAAACCTTAATCCGGTCTGGAACGAGCGCTTCCACTTCAACATCCCGAACCTTGGTTCTCTCCCTCAGCTCGCCCTCGAAGCTTCCGTCTACAGCATGAGCAAAGCTTCACAACCCCGGTCGTTCCTCGGCAAGGTTAGCATATCCGGAACCACTTTCGTCCCCTACGCAGATGCTGTGGTCACGCAGCACCCACTGGAGAAACGTGGAATGTTTTCGCGTGTAAAGGGAGAGCTCCGCCTCAAAGTGTTCCTCACCGTTGATCCCTCACCGAATTCTTCCGACCCTGTTCCCAAAGGTGATACTCCGAGTCAAGCTTCTCAAGCAGCTGCCAAAGAGGTCGACCAGAAGAAACAATCTTCTGCTCCGGCCAAAGAGCAACAGAACCCCAAGGTGGTCATGTTCTCCTCATCGTCTCCCTCTCAGCAGCCACTGGACTATGCGCTGAAAGAAACTCGCCCTTTACTCGGTCGTGGTGCTGACAAGCCGGCCACCACGTATGATCTCGTGGAGCAGATGCAGTACCTCTTTGTGCGCGTCGTGAAGGCACGAGATCTTCCGTCCGGGGACGCTAAAGGAAGTGTTGAAGTGAGAGTGGGTGACTACAAGGGGACTACGAAGCAATTCGAGAAGCAGCAGAACCCGGCATGGAATGAGGTGTTCGCGTTCTCCAAGGAGCGGATGGAGGCACCGGTTCTTGAGGTGGTGGTGGTGGTCAACGGAAAGGATGACCCTGTAGGGGTCGTACGCTTTGACCTTACCGACGTCCCGACACGTGTTCCCCCGAATGGTCCACTGGCTCCAGAGTGGTACCGGCTGGATGACAAGAAGGGGGAGAAGACGAAGGGCGAGCTCATGCTCGCGGTCTGGTTCGGAACCCAAGCGGATGAGTCGTTCCCGGAGGCAGGGCTTCCGGACGCAACGGCTCCCGTCGATGCCTCTCACATCAGGTCAAAAGTCTACCATGCGCCGAGGCTATGGTACGTCCGAGTCAACGTGATCGAGGCACAGGATATCGTGATGGCCGACAAGTCCCGGTTTCCCGATGTCTACGTCAAGGCTCAAGTCGGCAACCAGGAGTCGAGGACGAGTACGGTCGCGACGCGGGCACACAACCCCATCTGGAACGAAGACCTCATGTTCGTGGCGGCGGAACCCTTCGACGACGACCTCATCCTTTCTGTCCGAGACAGCGTGGCACCAAACAAGGACGAGGTCATAGGCAGCGCCATCGTCCCTCTGGGGTCCGTCGAGAGGCGGCTCGACGACGGCATCATCCATGGCCGGTGGTTCAACCTAGAGAAGCCTCATCAGAAGAAGAACAAGGACAAGGACAAGATTTCTTGCCGGATTCACCTTCGTCTCTGCCTGGAAGGTGGATATCATGTGCTCGATGAGTCCGCCAGCTGCAGTAGCGATCTCAGGCCGACGGCCAAGCAGCTGTGGAAGCCACCGGTGGGGTTACTCGAGCTCGGCATACTTAACGCAATGGGGATTCATCCCATGAAGACCCGAGAAGGGAAGGGGACGTCGGATACCTACTGCGTAGCAAAGTACGGCCACATATGGGTGCGTACTCGTACCGTACTCAACAGCCTGTTCCCCAGATACAACGAGCAGTACATGTGGGAGGTGTTCGATCCAGACACGGTTCTCACGATTGGTGTCTTCGACAATTGCCACCTGGGGGAGAAGGGTTCTAATGGCAACAACAAGGACGCGATGGTCGGCAAGATAAGGATACGTCTGTCGACCCTCGAAACAGGCCGTGTGTACACACACTCGTACCCGCTCCTGGTTCTGCAACCCTCGGGGCTTAAGAAGATGGGCGAGCTCCAACTCGCCATACGGTTCTCGACCACATCGTTGGTCAGCATGATGTGCATGTACGCACAGCCCCTGCTGCCAAGTATGCATTACGTACGGCCGCTGACCGGGATGCAGCGGGAGTTTCTGCGGCGCCAGGCCATCCAAGTCGTGGCCGCACGACTCAGCAGGACGGAGCCACCCCTGAGGAAGGAAGTGGTGGAGTACATGTGCGATGTGGACTCTCACAAATGGAGCATGCGACGGAGCAAAGCAAATTACCACAGGCTTCTGTCGGTGGTCGCGGCTGCGGCCGACGGGATCAAATGGTTTGGGGATGTTTGCGCGTGGAAGAACCCCATCACCACCTCGGTGGTGCACCTGCTGTTCTTACTGCTGGTGTGCTTCCCGGACCTGATACTGACGGCGATGTTCATGTACCTGTTCTTGGTGGGCATTTGTAACTACAGGTATCGGCCACGGCATCCTCCGCACATGAACACCCAGCTTTCTTATGCGGAGGCGGCGATTCCGGATGAGATCGAGGAGGAGTTCGACACGTATCCTAGCGGCGGGAAGCCAGAGGCCGTTCGAATGAGGTACGACAGGTTAAGGGGAGTCGCTGCAAACGTGCAAACGGTGTTGGGAGAACTGGCGAGTCAAGGGGAGAGGGTGCAGGCGTTGCTCAGCTGGAGGGATCCACGGGCGACGGTCATGTTTGTGGTGTTCTGCTTGGTGGCAGCACTTGTGCTGTATACTACCTCGTTGCAGGTGTTGGCTACCTCTGCAGGCCTCTATCTCATGCGCCATCCCAAATTTCGAGGTAGGGTTCCTCCTGCACCCGTTAACTTTTTCGTGAGATTGCCGACGAGGGCGGACTGCATGATCTAGAATTAGATGGCCTAATTTGTTCCGCTTTAAGCCAGTCGTAGTTGCTTTTATTGTTGTTGTTATCATTATTCTTTTACCTTGTGATCAATATTTCCATCTATGTTTTCGGTTGATGAACACTGCGAGTGATCTATTAAACTTTCTTGAATTCCATTTTTTGGTTATCGAGGAGACAGGAACAACTAAGCTTTGTCACCAGATACTTTCTTCGAAATTGCTTCATGTCACCTCATTCTATGAGTGCCATTTATTTCTCCCTACTTATGTTGTCAATCTTTTGGGTTCATGAGCTCATGGGGTGAGGATAATTGGGCAAAAAAAAAATAAATTATATTATTGAAAAAATAAATCATAATGTTTTCATGATATATATATATATATCATGATTCTAAATGATAAAAATTATGATGATATGTTATTATGTTTCTATCAAATAATGAGGATCATCATCTCAACATGATCGGCTCAGTTACGAAATGATTTAGATAAATATTTTCTATTAATTAAAAAAATATATAATTATCATATTTTGTAATCTTTATAAGTAAATATCCACTATCAATAAAAATTCATGCTAATCATTTTTTCAAGCTTGAGGATTCTATTGCCAACATATTATTGTCCATCTGAAATATCAAATTATTTAAAAAGGAAAAGTCCTCCCTCTATCAAAGGAATATGGATACATTCCAACGTGGCTACTAACTATTATATTGTTTACATTTATATGCAAAATAAAGTGATTGTTACCTCATCGAATGAAAGTAATATGGGTTTGGAGCAAAGCATCCTCACTCGTGTGTTCATTGAGAGGGTCGACGGGTGTATATCCCTATGACGTTGAGTCTTCCTTCTAACGCTAAAAATATTGAGAGAAGAAGTTGTTGACGTCATGGGTAGCCCGATGTGATATAAACCCATATGAGTAGGGTTGTCTCAGATGTTTCCAAGGTAAAAATACTAAACTCTCGAGGTGCCGCTTGCATGAAGACTAAGTTCGAGAGATGTTTCTGGATTCGGTCCCTCCGACCCCCAAGTTAGTAATCCGAAGATGTATGACCATGGATATGAGTAGTCAAAAAAGATAAGTACCCCCACTCATTATGTTGAACATAAGCTTTTATACTTAGTTGTAAAAGAGTAAAATAATTCATGGAATATTCTACAAGGAGACATTGATAAAAGATTCCTATATTAAAAATCTCAATCAATCACTGTTCAACAAGGGTCCATAGCTCAGTGGTAGAGCATTTGACTGCAGATCAAGAGGTCACCGGTTCGAACCCGGTTGGGCCCTTTACAGTTTTCGTTTATAATATTTTCTGGTTGTTTGCTTTCAATATTATTAACTGTCTCGTGATTTATAATTTACGTTCTAACAATGTCATTTGGATATTATAATGTTATTTATGATCCTTAAAATTAAATCAAAATGGGTCCATAGCTCAGTGGTAGAGCATTTGACTGCAGATCAAGAGGTCACCGGTTCGAACCCGGTTGGGCCCTAATGATAATTTTATTTTTAATGATATTAACAGAACAATTTTAGAAATTTATCGTATATTATGTGGTATTTATTTTTAACACTAACATTTATCATATACCATCTTCTAATCTATCTTTGCTCCTCGAACACAGAAAACTAGTTAGTGATTTATCAGGTGTCACCGAGTTCGTCATATGCCATCAATCTTTGAACCTATATCGAGAAGGAAAAATGGAACAATAACATTATTATTTAATATATATGATAGGGGTAATAATGGCGACATGACGTGTCACGATGTCGGTCTCACCTGGGCGCCACTCTGCTCGAGGAGGAGGGCAATAATGCTGACTCGACACGCCCTGACGTCATCCGCTCTCAGACAACGACTTCATCGTTTTCTGACCCCGCGCGCTTGACCGAGGCAGAGGAGGACGGCAACCGACCCTCGCCCATACCCTGCTGTCACGACC